ATCCATTCATCCACCCATCTCTCCCTCCCTCCCTCCATCCATCTCTCCATCCCCTAATCCATCTGTCCATTCATCCCTCCATCCCTCCACCTACCCATCCATCCCACCCCTCCAGCCATCCAGGCAGCCAGAGAGTTAAGTGCACAGACTGCCATTTACCACCAGTGTGACCTTGGGCCCGTTGCTCGCCTTTCTCCGTGCCTCGGTTTCCCCATCTCTATGGTGGGGATATCAGTGGGCCCTCCTTCGGAGAGCTTTGGGAGGAGAGTAAGAGCAGATGGGAACAGAGCGCCTGGTACATAGTGAGCCATCTGTACGTGGAAGTGATCAGGACTGTGACTGTCACGGTTGCTCTGACCGTCACTGTCACCCTGCGTTTCCGCGGGGGGATCTGGCGCCCCAAGGGGCCCGGTGCCCGGCCGGGTCCACAGTGAGCCGGGGCCGGGTGGTGGGTGGCGCGGCCTGGTGCTCAGGCCCCGATGTCGGCTGTCGCGCCAGGTGGCGGTGTCGCGCGTGGCCCGAGTGTGCAAGAATGACGTGGGCGGCTCGCCCCGCGTGCTGGAGAAGCAGTGGACGTCCTTCCTGAAGGCGCGGCTCAACTGCTCCGTGCCCGGGGACTCGCACTTCTACTTCAACGTGCTGCAGGCCGTCACAGGCGTCGTCAGCCTGGGCGGCCGGCCCGTGGTCCTCGCTGTGTTTTCCACCCCCAGCAACAGGTCAGCGGGCGCAGACGGGAGCGGATGGGGGACCCTGGGTGGATGTGAGCGGAGAGGCCCCGCGTTCACTCAGCACACTTTCCTTGGGCCCTGGGCTGCGCAAGATGGGGCCCCCGAGCAGCCTCGGCCCCAGGCCAGGGTGGGACAAAGCCCGACGCTGAGCCTCCAAGGCCCTTTGGCCAGCACTGGGCAGACGGGGGGGCATCCTCATCCCTTGCCTTTGGAGGAGCTCAGGGAGGGCTCCCTGGAGGAGGGGACGTTGAAACTAGGCTTCAGTGAGTGTAAGATGGAGGAAGAGGGAAGAGTGTTCTAAGGTGGAGGAACAGCATGTGCAAAGGCCCTGAGGCTGCAGTGAGCTTGGTTTGTTTAACCAACAGGGAGGAGGCCTGGGTGGCTGGAGAGAAGGGAGCGAGGGGGAGAGCAGAGGATATGAGGGCAGGGAGGTGATGGGCCGTGAGGAGGAGCCTGGACTTCATCCTGAGAGCACTAGGGAGCCACGGGAGAGAGAGGGGCAGAAGACGGACAAGGCAGATTGGCGTTTTGGGAACGCTCCCTGGGGAGTGGGTTAAAAGGCGCCAAGAGTGACATCTGGGAGACTGGACGTCCAGGCGGGGACAGTGGGAGCCTGGACACAGGGTGGCCGTGGAGGGGCTGAGCCGTGGTCCAGGCTGAGGACTGCACAGGAGGCAGAGTGACTGCGTTGGGTGGGTGGGCGGCATCTCTGGCCCAGGGGACTGACCGTCGGGCAGCTCAGAGGACGAGGCCTCCCCCACACGTGTGCCTGCCCGAGGTGGTGCCCCCCCGCCCCAGGCTCACCTCCCTTTCATCTGCGCCCCCAGCATCCCCGGCTCGGCCGTCTGTGCCTTTGACATGACGCAGGTGGCTGCCGTGTTCGAGGGCCGCTTCCGCGAGCAGAAGTCCCCCGAGTCCATCTGGACGCCTGTGCCGGAGGATCAGGTGCCGCGGCCCCGGTGAGAGCCCCCTCCGTCCTAGGCCAGGCGCCGGAGTGGGTCCTGTGCCCACGACCGGGGCTTCCAGACGCTGTTTGAGCTGTGGTTGAGTCCAGCTGTACCCGTTACACATACGGGGAAACTGAGGCCCTTTGAGCAGGGCAGTGGGTCTCCCGTGCGGGGCCCCCAGGTCCGCCCTGACCGTCGCCCGCCCCCCAGGCCCGGCTGCTGCGCGGCTCCCGGCATGCAGTACAACGCCTCCAGCGCCTTCCCCGACGAGATCCTCCACTTCGTCAAGACCCACCCCCTGATGGACGAGGCGGTGCCCTCGCTGGGCCACGGGCCCTGGATCGTGCGGACCCTGATGCGGTCCGTCCCCACGCGCGGCCGGGGACCCGGTGGGGCGGGGGTGGGCGCGAGGGGCCAGGCCAGAGTGGCGGGCGGGAGGGAGGACGGGCCCACTGCAGGCGAGGGGGCGTGGAGAGCCGTCCTGCTGGGGTCAGGCGCTCCAGAGAGCGGAGGGTGCGGCTCTGGGGCTGCCCGGAGAGACGGAGACGGAGAGAGACACAGAGACAGGGACAGAGAGAGACAGAGACGGAGATGGAGAGAGACACGGAGACAGAGACAGAGAGACAGTCAGAGACAGAGACACCCAGAGAGACAGACAGATGGAGACACTCAGGGAGAGACAGGCCCAGGTGGCAGCCCGGTCTGGGGGGACCGCAGGGGCAGTAGGGCCAGCCTGACCCCCCCCCCGGCCCGGCTGCAGGCACCAGCTGACGCGCGTGGCCGTGGACGTGGGCGCCGGCCCCTGGGGCAACCAGACCGTCGTCTTCCTGGGCTCCGAGGCGGGCACCGTTCTCAAGTTCCTCGTCTGGCCCAACACCAGCGCCTCGGGCTCTGCCGGGCCCAGCGTCTTCCTGGAGGAGTTCGAGACCTACCGGCCCGACAGGTGGGACCAGACAGAGGCCGGGGGGGGGGCCGGCGGGCAGGGAGACGGGGCACCCCCTGAGGCTTACCCATCTGCTCACCCCCAGGTGTGGACGGTCCGGCGGCAGCGAGACGGGGCAGCGGCTGCTGAGCCTGGAGCTAGACGCGGCCTCGGGCGGCCTGCTGGCGGCCTTCCCCCGCTGTGTGGTCCGAGTGCCCGTGGCCCGCTGCCAGCAGTACTCGGGGTGCATGAAGTGAGTGCCCCCGGGCAGGCTGTGAGGGGAGGCGAGGGGAGATGAGCGTGGCAGCCAGATTAGAATCAAGGGTCCAGCAGCATTCTGACTCATTGAAAGATGAGGTGGACAGAGGGAACAGCCAGTGCAAAGGTCCTGGGGCAGGACCGGGCGTGTTGGAGGAACAGCGAGGAGGCCCATGTGGCTGCAGCAGAGGCAGCGAGGGGGAGAGAGGGAGAGCAGGGAGGGGACAGGGCAGGTTGTGCAGGGCCTGGTGGGCTGCGGGCTGGACGTGGGCTTGTCCCCCGAGGGAGGGGGGCGCCCTGGAGGGCTGTGGGCAGAGGAGGGGGAACCTGACTGATATTTTAAGAGCAAGAGGATCTGGGGGCCCGGGAGGCGGCTGTTTCCCTGCCTCTAAAACGGGTGGAAAGATCAAATGCAGATAAAGTACGGGCCCATCCTGGGCTCAGTGTGAGCCCCCACACGAGGACCCCCACTCGACACCCACCATTGAGGCCATGATGTCACCACAGGCCGGAGCCAAGGCACAGACCCCGGGGCCGGCCTGCTGGGGCTGCAGTCCCGGCTCTGCTCCTGGGCAGCAGTGAACTTCCTGAGCCTCAGTTTTCTCATCTGTGAAATGGGGACGGGGTGACCCTGCTGCAGAGATTGTCACGAGGACCCCCGGAGTGGATAGTAAGGCACAGCGGAAGGGACTGAGGTTGACGGCCCCCGGGGCCCTTGTCTGCTCTAGGAACTGTATCGGCAGCCAGGACCCCTACTGCGGGTGGGCCCCCGACGGCTCCTGCATCTTCCTCAGCCCCGGCACCAGGTACTGGGGGCGGGGGGGCGAGGGTCTGACCCTCCTGAAGGTCGGGGCTCCCCCCACTCCCCACTCCGGCTCTGCTGATTGTGCCTCTCGTCCCCCCTCAGAGCCACCTTCGAGCAGGACGTGTCCGGGGCCAGCACCTCAGGCTTAGGGGACTGCACGGGTAAGTGGGACGCGGGGAGGAGGCCTGGGGACCTCGAATCCTGGCCCTGGTCCTCACGCCCTTCGCCGCTGTGCCCCGATGGGTGGGGGGACTGGCTTCCCTCAGGGCTTGGAAGGGCAGGGGGTCCCGGTTCCCCTTCGGGAGGCAGGAAAAGGACAGACCCCAGAGGACAGACAGAGGCTTGGGACTGATGGAGAGACTTGGAGAGTTCGGACAGACCCCAGGGGGACGCAGAGGGGCTGTGAGAGGGACAAAGAGACACCCCAGGGCAGACAGAGAAACGTGGAGAAGACGTTTGGACGGACGCACGGAGGCCAAGCGCGGGGGCGCCCCTCTCACGCGGCTCTCCCGGCCAGGCCTCCTGCGGGCCAGCCTGGCGGAGGAGCGCGCGGGGCTGGTGTCGGTGAACCTGCTGGTGACCTCGTCGGTGGCGGCCTTCGTGGTGGGCGCCGTGGTGTCGGGCTTCAGCGTGGGCTGGTACGTGGGCCTCCGCGAGCGGCGCGAGCTGGCGCGCCGCAGGGACAAGGAGGCCATCCTGGCGCACGCGGGCGCCGAGGCCGTGCTGAGCGTCAGCCGGCTGGG